TCCCTACAGGGATGGGAACACATTTGTACCTGATTTATGCACTCGGGCATTTCTCTTGTGTCTCCTGTTGCACAGCTGTCTCATTTTATGTCAGCAAAAGCCACTGCACAAGACTTGTCCATGTTGAAACTTGGTTTAGGGTCATTTTCCCCAGTAAGAGATTAAATTATTTGGAAGTTTTACTTAAAGTGTGAAGGAAGTAGATAGGTTCAAAAGTTTAGAAAAGAGGAAGCTGTCAAATAGGCATGACAGGTTTATTGTACGATTTGCTTTTTACCTTGTGAAATACCATTTCCACATGTACCTATTACACAAATTCAACCCAAATGCACAAATACCGAGGCTGTGCTTTTGCCTATGTGTAAGTCCTTAATTTTCTTCAGTGTGCCCATTTTGTGCAGTAAATATTGCTCACAGGACTTGTATCGGCTGATACACTAGACAGAATGGATATAATATATAGCGTTTCCGTGACATACGTGAAGCTTAAGAAACAGCCACACAGGCCCTTCCTCTGCCTGGTTGATCAGTGCTTTATTGGAGACACGCTGAAGCATTCAAGACATCTCTGATCCATATACCAAGTTTTATACACACAGCATACGGTGGTGTGCCCATCTAGGATATGCTCATATTTCCATTAAATGTGCACTCAGGTTGTTCAAGTAGAAAAGCTTTGTTTCTGCCTTTGGAAACAAATGGACTCTGAAGCGCTATGAGATCATGACTTTGAATTATCATTTGCTTTCAGAGTGGTGAAGTTCTACAGGACCCAGCGGGATGCAATGCTCGTTGCTGCTGACAGGTGGTTAAAAGGTCAGTGAGTGCAACGCAGCTAATTACTGAAATTGTTTTCTAGCTATTTATCATCTTTGTGTTCAAGACAAATCACTAAAGTTCATCCCTTGACTGAAGTGACAGAGAAGCATTATAAGCAAATCAATGCCATTAAATATTAAGCTTAGGACAAATTACCTAGCGCTGCTGTTTTCATGCTTTTCTGGTGGGACAAGGAGATGGTGATGAGAAGAAAGCTCACCGCATTTTTACAAAGAGGATATATTTCACTGCACTTTGATCTTACACTTTTTATGTTTAAAATCTCTGTCTTTATAATCCCTGTCTGAAATAGCCAGATTTAGTAGCCTTGATTTAAAAGAAGATGTAAACAATCAATACAGCAGTAGCGATAATCATTTTTGTGTCAGAAATCAATTTCAAATGTCCCCTTTTTGTGGTTAATCACGGAGCACAGAAAGAATTTGATCAACAATAATGCAATTACAGTTAGTGACTCACTCCTTTTAGTTAGTCTAAGTGGAATCAGCCATAACTGCTTAAAAACTGCCCACCTACCTTAGATGATACTTCCATGGGACACATGCACTTGGGCACCACACGGTCATTCATGTACTTACTCTTGCTAATTCCAGGTTTTTAGGTACAAAGTATTTCTTCTTTTTCTACGTGGCTCTGACCAACCATGGGTTGTGGACCCAGGCAGCCCCTTTTTGCCTCAATCCCCCAAGTATCAAAACAGGGTAATAGCACTGGGCTGCCTTAAAGTGTATTGTGCGAATATACTCATGTAAAAGGCCACAGGGTCTTCATGTTTTCTAGTAATAGGAGCCAAAATATTAAGGAAGACAGACCTTTATTTTTTAGATAGGTAATGCTTAAATACAGCAAGGAAGAGCTGGAGAAGATGTCAAGTCAAATAAATAATTCCTTCAAAATTATGTCCAAAACCAGAAAAAGAATTCTAGGTAAACAAAAGGTATACAGTAAGTCTGCAAATACAATCCTCTGTAAGCCTTCCCATCTTCCTCATAACTCCTACGCTCTCCTTTTCTTTGGGGAAAAAATCTGTAATCATTGTAACTTAAAGGAAAACAGTTCTGGGCTTTACTACACTTAAAATCGTGTTGATAGTCAATGTGATATTAAGAGAAACTGCATCAGAAAAAATATTTTATATTGTTTACTTGATCTGAAAGTAATCAACAAATACAGTACGTTAATGTTTGGGATTTCTGTCATTCAGAGCAATCACGTTCACAAAAACTATTGAGGATGCCAGCACAAGTGCAGTAAGCCCGCACCGATTTGATTAGGAGTACTTTAAATTAGACAAGTGGCACCCTGGCTCTGTGGCCTGCATTCCCTTTGAGTTCACTGGAGCAACAAATCTACATCATCACTGAACGTATGATGCATCAGTTAAAGGCGGGGCAGAAGTTTCCTTCTTGATTCCCTTCTTTTCTCTCTCTCCAGACCTGGCAGAATGGTACCCTCCTGCTGCTGGCATGTTCCTATGGATCAAAATTAAGGGTATTTCTGACACACAGCAGCTGATCATGGAAAAAGCTTTGCAGAAAGAAGTATGACCTATGGTTTAATGGCTTATGATGTTAAAATGAAATGAGGGGAGGATAAAATAAATTTACCGTATCTATTCGCACATACGGCTGCCCATAAAAAGCAGGGGGACTTGCTGTGCGCCATCACTGAGTCTGCAAGTCAGGCATTATCGCACAGTCACTCGTTAATATTTTCAAGTCTGTATTTAGAAGTTGATATTTAATCAGCTTACTTAAATTTAAACCATATACATCAACTGTATATAGTACAATATGCCATGTATACAACATACATATATAATATTAATATTTATACCTATATGAATGATGGCTGTCCACTGTATCTTTTTGACAAGAGAAATTAAGTGTGATTTTATTTCTCCAACTTATAAGAGCCAGCAGTGTATACAGAGTAAACTACAGCCCACCTCCCTGGTGCTTCTAAAGACTGTGATGATAAGCCAGACCTGGTAACCCACCAGCCTAGGGAACAAAAACCTAAGAGCCCTTTGATTTTGTTATGAAAGGCTGATTCCAGGTTGCATATTTTTGGCTTCTCCTTTTGAGGAGAAGAAATACATTACGCCATGTTCTGATAGCAGTGTTTCAGCAGTCAGCCTTCTCAAATTTTATTCAACACAGTCTTTTAAAACTGTAGAAGTGGTGATAACTGGGTGGCTAATCAATTTTTCTTAGGTGTTACTGGTTCCTGGAGGAGCATTCAATATCGATAGTTCAGAGCCTAGTTCTTACGTCAGAGCCTCCTTCTCTCTGTCTTCTCCGGCCCAGATGGATCTGGTAAGTGAGATTTTCTTTTTTTTTTTTTACATTCTTAGCAAGACAGTTTCTCACATACTAATGCTCCCTTATTTTTACTTACTTCTTACGTGGTTTCTTGAATGTTAATGTAGGTTTTTTTAGTACTTAGGTGATTAAGGAGTACTTTTGAAGCAGTATTAGCTGTTTCTTAGGCAAGATACTCACATCCAAATGACCTGAAAGGTACCAAATTTTTAGGAGCACTTAAAATTTTTCAGTGTATATCTCATACATACAGAGTCTCACACTTAATCCTCCCAGACATTTTTCAAAAAGGCTTTACTGAAGTCAGAGTAAGTTTTGCTCTTTGCTTCAGCATTAGCAGGCATCACGTGTGTGTGTTGGGGAGGGGTGTTGTCAATCTCTTATAGGAAAGAATGTTGTTTTTCTTTCATACAGTTGATATACATGTTGTATTTCATTTCTCAGGAACTAATCTTCTATGTATTTTAGGAATATTTTGGATGTTATTTGGCTGAATCCGTGAATCATTGGGAAGAAAGACAGGAGACATGTATTTGTGCAGATTTAATACTCATTTGATTCAGGTGCTTGAAACAGTTCAGTATTTGTAGTTGTACTTTTATGCAATGAAAGTGAAGGTTTGTAACAGATAAGATGACCTTCTTTTATGTGCTTCCTCACTCAGCTGTTCTTCCTTTTCTTTCAACTTTGGAGCCTCTAGGCCCTTATATTAAGTTAAAAGAGATATTCTTCTGGGGGTCCCTAGTTGTATTAAAAGTACAACTGTTGAGTTGCATCTGAACTCCGAATTAACCTTTGAACATCAATATACATATTTTTCTGTTTCAGAAAATTCTGCTTTTTATTTTCTATATCAGAGATGTGGAAGCGTGGTCCAGTCAAAGCTCGTATATGGGCTTACATGAAAGGAAAACAGAGAATATCAGCAGAATTTTGCAGTATAAAATACTGAGTTTGTATATGGTTAGGGTAGTTCCAGTAGCTTTACAGGTTTGGTGTGTTGCCTATTTAAGTAATGCTGGAATATAAACGTGAACCATATTTGTGTCATTGCAGGCCTTCAAGAGACTGGCTGGCCTTATAAGAGAAGCTTTGTGAAAAAGCTAAATAGAGCTCTTGAAGCAATCGAGATCGTCTCCAGAAAATATTTATTAAAATTTGGATTTCATCTGAACACTTTAAAAGCAAGGACAATACAGTGGATGTTTCCTTAGGTTGTTTCAGCCAAAAAAGAAAAAAAACGAAAGACTGAAAAACTATTTGCTTAATTTTTTTGACAGGACATTGCATTATTAAATTTATTCCAATTCAGAAACATTTGAAATACTCAAAAACCAAAATGTTCTGTTTCCCATCAAATCCATAGTTTTGCTAGATTTGAATTGATTTTTGTTCTGGGTTTTGTTTTCCGTTTGCTTTGGGCAATGGAAATCGGTTACTTAGGAAGTTGCATCTGAGGTGGTCTTAGCCACTAGTACTTAATCCCAACTGATACATTCCTCCAACACCTTCAGTTGGAATTGTTCTTGTGCGTCACTTTCCTTCTTATCCTGCTGTATGGCATCTGATTTTGAAGATTTGAAGATCAGTATTTAATTTTACTAAAGTTTTGTCAGATAAAACTGATGTAAGGATGTTAAAAAATTGAAACTGATCCAGCAAAATTAAGCTGTGATTACAAATAAAACTCTTTGGCCTAAGGTCCCTCACAATTTGCATGGGTTTTGCAGCTCATTCTCTAATTTGTAAAAGGTTTTCTGATGGCTGGCTTCCAGTTCAGTCTGTGAATAATTACTCTGTAGCTGTGTTAGAAAAATCTCTGGTTTGCAAAGGCGTGTGGGCGTGCTAATAGAACTGCTCGCTGCTCTTAGTTAATTAGTCAGACGTGTTTTCGAATGTGAGCCTAAGTAACTGAACGGGGGTTTTGTGGAATGTACAATACCCTGACACTGCCAGATGTACAAAGCAAGCAAAATGAAAAAATAAAGAACTGTTTTGATCTCTAATCCCTTGGTCATTCTTATCCCAAACGTTTGAAACTTGGCAACATGTACAAAACCTTCAGAAAGTTTTAACTGTACAGATTCCCCAAGGCTTCCCCTTTTGCTTAGTGACTTAAGTTTTATTTACTGTTTGGATGAAAGCGCTGTGGTTTTCTACCAATAGCAGATGGGTGTTTCTTTATGTGCAAGTCTTGAGAATTTCAAAGTAAAAATATGTGGGTTTATATAAAGTATATATATAAAAATATCCAGCCGATCCTTCAGCAGCTCAGGTAACCCAACCAAATAAGGGTCCAGCTTTGCTTAACTGGAAGTTTCACAAGAGTCGTGGTTCTAGTACTAACAGTAATTTTCATTCCCTCTTTTCCCCCTAGTTACAGATAGCCTGTGTCATAACAAACCAGCACGGATGTGTGCCTTTCCCAGCATCTCTCCTATCATCAGGATCATTCCAGTGCCTCCAGCCCAGCGTTGCCTTTTATCTCAAGCCTTTTAATTTCATCACACATCCAAGCCATCTCTGCACTTCGCAGCTTCTTGAGCAGCATATTTAAGCTCAGTCCTTTCCCCCCTTGCCAGATTACTGCGACTTTTAGTCAAGTCCACATGATTTTCAGACTAATTTTCTCCAATTTGGTATTGGGACATGACGCCTTTCTTCTCAGCGCTGTTCAAAGTACTTGGTGTAGTCCCAACTTGTCTGCCACCCCTTGGTGATGGCAGACAATTTTTATCTTGGGTTTTTATTTAGAAAATCATTTTATACAACAGAATGAACTGATGTGTCTGTTTAATTAAAATAATATATTTTTACAGAGGAATAAACATCATTTAAGACTGATTTTAGTTCTCAGGCAAATGCTATTGTCATTGTCAAACACTATTGTGGTATCGTCACTCAGCTCGACCTGAATTAGAAAAACATAATCAAAATATCATTATTAAGCAAGCTTTATGTTGGTGATGTGTTGAGTAATACACCTCTTAATTTTCAGAGAGCTAAATGTTAATTTAGTTGAGTGTAAGCAAAATGCAATTCCATTTGCTGCACATTAGATGCTTTTGCTATCAGCTAATGTAATTTAGAGAGAGTTTGGCTTTTCCCTAGCTGTGGTGAAGCATTTAAAATTAAATTAATATCCTGAGCAATGCAAATTGAACAATGGCAGCGACATCTTAAATGCGCATACTGTTTCCCTGAGCCTCTTAAAGCGCAGTTTCTGGTCTCCTGGGAGAGAGCATTCGCTGTGATTCCGTGTTGCTGGAGGAAGCCTCTTAGAGACAAAAGAGGGTGGGCAACAGGTTCACATCAAAAGAAATGATGTGGCAAATGAAAGTGCTGGTTTTCCCTTTCTGTTTCGTCCACCCAAGAGCAAATGACCTCTCCCATTGGTAGCTGAGCTTAAGCCATCCGATGCAGGTGACACCATCGGCCGTTGGGGACGAGAGGATGCGGAGGCAGGGAAGGGCTCGGTGCGGTCAGCACATCCGTGGATGCTCCCCAGCCGTGGGAGGTGTGGAAGAGCTTACAGCAGTGCTGGAGAGAGCTCCGGGCAGCTCCGAGTCTCCAGACTTGCTTCTGCTTGGGCAATTACCTGCTCCTTCTCTTGTACCTACACTTTGGTTCCACTGGATTTGCAGGCTTTTGACAGATGAAAACCACCTAGAAATTCTGGACAAATAGCCACTGTACATGACCCGAACGATTCTGCTGTACGAGGGACATAAATCTCAACCCATCCTACGCACATCATGTCTGCACGTGTTGTTGCCCACATTTAGACTCGTGACGAATCCCACTTCTGCTTTGTGAGTTTTACAGATGTAGCAAGGGGAAGCAGTTCTTCCCTGGGAGGATGCAAAAACTAGCTATAACAACTTCAACAGAATTCCTGAACTTCCACGTAAAATACATTTAGAATTTTTAGGTTCACACAGGTCATCGACCTGAAGGAAAATATCCCCCTTTACTTTCCAGTGAGCACCCTTCAGCACAGCTGTGGTTAATGAATAATTGAGAAAGATTTTTATGGGGAATTCCTTAGAAGAGAGAATGTATGGGTGTACACAATACGACAGTTCTTACGTTAGACTCTCAGCCTGCAGGGAATTACTTCATCTAACTGAATGTCAGTCCCTGAGCAGCAGCGGTGATGTCCAAGAATTTATAGAGTTCTTGTGGAAAACCCTTGGTTTTGTTTTGGGGGGTTATCCCCGAAATTCTGAACACAAGTTTCATTTTAAAATCCATCCTTTAAAAATCATTTGCTTTGTGTGGAACCACGTATTTTAAAACCTTGTGGCCTACAGATCTGCAGTACTTTCAGTTCTGCCTTTGCAAGCTGGATTGTGATACACCGGGGCAAATATTTAAAAGAACTGCATTGAGCTGTACTGGTGCGTGCCCTAATCTGACTTGTTTTCTTTATTGTTTCATAAGAGTTTTTGAGCAGCCCACTGTAGACTGTGTCTTAGATGGGAAGAGAATGATTGCGGTGTTTGAACGGGAATCGTTCCGAATGAAAAGCGCCCTGTGAATACAAAGAAAGATACATTTTCATTCCTCTAAGATAGCTACCAGGAATACCAGTACCTCACTTTTCTCCCAGTGGCCGTGGAAGTTATTGTGTGACCCTGCAAAGCTCAGGTATCACCATGGGAGAAGGATAAGGCTCTCGCTGATTCTTTTTGAGAATGAATATCCCAGAAATGTGTTAACAAATCTGACTGCTGCTAGACGATTCCCTGCTAGCTGTACAGAATTTGGAGAATACCGGCAAAATTATATTTTCTTTTTATTTTCAACTTATATTAAATCAGAGCTGGATTGATATAGCAAGTGAATATGCTGTGATGTGACCTGGAAAAAATTAACATGAAGGTATTTCTGCTCCTTGATTTCCATAGAACTTTGAATTTCCTCTCCGTTTGGCTAGTAATGAACTTTGAACCTAAAAGGTTCAAAAGATTAAACATATTTTCCTGCACTTTCCTCAGAAAAATCAGGCATTAACAGAGGTAGGATACCATTGGCCTGGCCCAGGATTTTGGCTCCTGCTCATCGTGTGCCGGAATGTCTAACCAGATCTAGCTTGAGACGCCAGCCCTAAAACCCTCCTGGTAATCCAGGTGCGTTGGCAAATCGGAACATCGGTCTTTTCCGTGCACAGCACCACCGACCTGCAGTCACTAAGGATGTGCTGGAGCATCTGTGTGGCTCCCCAGTCCTGAAACAAGCACCAGAAGGTGATGTGGGCACCTCTTGAATTAGTGGTGGGCAACGGCACTAAAGAAAGGCCAAGGTCGCAGCTTTTGTGCACTTACGTGTGTAAACGCACACCAGATCAGCGGGACCCTGGAGGAGCAAGGCGCTGCAGTGTCTCTGTCCGGACGGAGAATATAACCCTCTGTGTAAACCCAGAATCCGAGAATATAAACCCAGACTATCGTTTTTGCAGAATGAGAAGTCTTTCCTGTTCTTTTTTTCAGCTTGTTACATTATTTGAATCCAGAAATCTGCTTATTTGTGTCATCGGCATAAACTATCACCAGTTTATCTTCATATAAAAACACTTCAGGAAAAACCTATCCGGTTTGGCTCCTAAGAGAGCCAGTTTAACTGAGAGAACATCACCTTGTCCATTGGTATTTAGCCATGAAAATCTAGCAGAAGGTAGAACACCTCTTGCTATGGAACTGATAGCAAACTTTGATTTTAGCAATCGTGAACGTGGCTCGTTCGCCTCCATTTTGTAGCCACCAGAATGCAGGAACAATTGGAAACGCTTCATTTTTTTTTTACATTTTACTTTTTTTTAATGTTTTTTAATTAAAATTTAAATTGCCTCTAGTGAAAGCCGATACGAAACAAAATTTAACTGGGCAAACTAATCCCTATACCACTGCTAGTTATATTTATGAAGTTGCAGTAGTGCTAGCCCAGTTATTCCAGGAGAAGGTTTTGGAGTTACATCTGTACTGATGACTTCTGGTTCCGTTTTTCCGGGATAAAGACGTTTTTCTGACAAGACCAAATTATTTTATTGCCTTATATGGAATCCTCTTTCAATTAGACAATGTACAGTTTAATACACT